AAATATACTTTTATTTATTCACTCCACATAAAATGTAATAAATAAATCACATAATACAAAAATCAAGTATTCACATTTCAAGTTTTAACTATTTAAATTTTCAGCTTTTTTCTTTTACAAATTTAAAGTGAAAACAACACAAAACACTGCAAACCACAACACAATTAAATATAAATTATAATATGAAAACAAAAAGAACATGCATATTCTCTGTCATATGGGCCTGCATGAATAAACTTTCTGAATCCTTTATCATCTGCAACCGAAAATAGTTGTGGATGATTACTATACCTTTCTAATGTTGTTGTCCCTGCCTCTCTTTCTCTCTCTCTGGCTCTGTTCCTGTGCTACTGAGTGTAACTACCGCCCCTCCCCCCCTCTGCCCAGCGTAAAGCACAAGGCTCGCTTGCAGAGTGCAGCGGAAAAAAAGTGCGAGAGAGAGGCTGAGAGAAAGAAAAAAAAACAAAACAAAACACGTGACGGCTCGCGATAAGGAGTCGGCTCGTGTCGTTCACGTCAAAGAACCGGCTCTAAGAGCCATTTCGTTCGCGAACGACCCATCACTAGTCAATACCTGGATGCTCTGTGGGAAAGCTAATGGACAATGACAATGACTGGGGTAAAAACAAATATTAATCAATTTGCTACAATAAATATAGATGACTCATGTTGCTGAACAGACCGATGTCTCCTAAAAGGTTTTAGCAATAACATTGACTGCAACAACAATTAAAAATTTATTATTTCATGAGCCACCTTCAAATTAATGTCAAGAAAACATTAATACTGTCAGGGTCCTGGGACTGGGCGACCCAGGATCCCTGGGCAGTCATGGACCTGTGTATTATTATTATTATGTATTTTTGGTGTCGTTTCCCCTTCTCTGTGCGTGTACATATGTGTGTTTCTCTGTGCTGTGTTAGTCTGTGTCCCACTCATATGTTTAGGCGAGGTATGGGTGTGTATGTCTGCGGGTGTGCCTGGAGGATGGAGCTCGGCCACCTGCAGGCCTGAGGGGTGTGGCCCTGCGGAGGGACTGGCCACACCCGAAGCCACACACCTGCTGCTGATCAGGCCTCGTCGGGGGAGCTACTTAAGAGAGTCTTGGAGCTCCCACCGACGTGGGATCATTGCATGAGACTCCACGTTAGTCACCCTGTCTAAGCTAAGTCTGAAAGTGTATGCCTGCCATTCTGAGTGTCCTGACAGCTGCCGTTATTGTTTCCCGCAGGAAGAGAGTGGAAGGCACGGAGAGCAGCGAGCACCGGGGGGTGCTGACACGGGAGCAGAGAGCACACGGACTATTCACGAGAGACACGACACGGGAGTCTGGGAGAATACGGGGATTTATTGTTACGTTGTTTTCACTCTGTAAATAAACACTGTTTGTACATAGAGCACCGCGCCTGGGTCCTCCTTCCCCCACTCCTTCCACGGTGTGCCATGCCATACCGTGACAAATACAATTATTAGCAGTACCTCAATCAATGACACTTTTGAGGTACATTGAGGGACTTACAGTTTTTTCTGAATGCTTAAACCCTAACTGTGATTCTTATAGCACAATTTCTAAAACTATTGATACTTATAGCAAAACCACTCACTGAGTTTGCAAAATTAAAAGCACAAACACTGCTTTGCACTCAGTTTGCCATTTTGTAACACACACTTTGCAAACCTGTAGCTACAATCCACTGCACAGCACTCTTTTTGCAGAACTGTAAACATAACTCACTGCTTTACACTCAATTTCCAAATGATCAGTGCACTCCAGCAAAACTATACACATTTATGGCCATTATTTACACTACTTTGCCAACTGTCTGGCACACTGTCACATGTGAAAACTTTTTTAGATAATTAGTTCACTTTGCAATCAGCCTAAGCACTATAATACAGGTAAGCTCTGTGTGTGGAGTACAATGGAGGGAGCAGAAAGAGTGAGAAGTAGAGGAGGCCGAGGAAGAGGACGTGGAGGTGAAGAAGTAGGATGAAGAGGACGACAAGGACAAGGAGGACCAAGAGGAGGACGAGGAGGGGGGAGAGGAGGATGAGGAGGGGGAAGAGGAGGATGAGGAGGTGGGATAGGAAGGGTAAGAAGAGTAAGAAATAGAATTGCTGATGACATCAGAGCTACAATAGTGGACCATGTCAACCGTGGAATGACCCTGAGGGTAGCTGGCCAACGGGTCCAGCCTAACTCGAGCCGCTACACTGTAGCAAGTATCATAAGGACATCTTGAAATGAGAATCGGTTAGTACAGTCACTTTGCACAAAGATTTGTAGCACTGCCATATGCCAATGAGAAACACACCAATACCATTGATGTAAAAATACTGAAATTGTTACTTTACCGAATTGCTAGATGACCAGATGCTGGGGGCAGAGGAAGCATGTTCACTGCAGACCAAGTAACCCATATAGTCATTATGGCGATTGCAAATAATCCTATACTTGGAAATAAACACTTGTGTTTGTTTTGATGTGTTTGAATAAACACCAGTACTTGAAGTTTGGATCCCTCTATGCTTATGGATCTATGACAGAAGTATGAGCTCAAACTGACATAGCCTACCTTGTGCACAGAGAAAGCAAAAGCCAGATGTGTTTTATATTCATACCATCAGTGTGCAGTTGGCGCATTGTGTGCTTAGTAGATGATGGCTTGTGTGTACTGTTTGATACGGAAACACCATTTTTACGATGGTGTGAAGAGTTAATCTAGCTGTGTTCGCTTTTGCAAGAGAACTACAATGTTTTGATGATTGGGTGACAGGTTTTCTTATTTGTGTGAAGAGTTTTGCAAAATTAGCCAATAGTTACAAAAAATGTGCTTAAGCAATCAGAAAAAACTGTAAAATAACTAGACACTAATGATTTCATACTACAGTGGATGGCTGAACAATTTTCACAACCGCTTATCCATCGAGACTCTCAGCTGACACTGGCTGAGAAGAATATAAAATGGACAGGCTGACAGTTTACGTGGCTAACAGACAGACAGATAACCGTTATATTCACACACACTTAAAGCTAAGTTTAAATTAATCTTAGATTAGATTTTAAACTGCAAGAAAAAAACAGATCACTCTGACAGGGAAACAAAATAGGGAAAGGGAGATCATACAAGGAGCCAACCAGAACTCAGTAGTGGGCAGAGTGGTGTAGCAATGCCCCCTTGGGACAGTTTGCTTCACAGGCACAGTAGCCCAGTACAATGTATACGTGCATGCACATATAGATACATAAAGCACAATTTACAAAACCTAATCCTGAATTCAAATATATTATGATGTCAACATAAACCATGAGGAAGAGGATTCATACAGAGGCTTTTTAAAGGACCCTCACTTGATGTATATGTCTTATGTTATCAAGGGTACTGAAGCTTCCTGTAAGGCAGCCTTGTTAAGCACTGCTCCACCATGAGATTCACATCTTTAATTCAAATGTACCATTTAATTCATTTTTAACTTCTCAGCAGGAGTCCGTGCAGTTGTGCTTTGACTGCCTTGCAGATTTAATCTGGTCTATGTCACGGCGAGTGAGAGGAGCCGTGTGGAGGAAATGAAGGGGGATCCAAACGCAGGCAGTAGTGGAGAGGTGAAGGTGGTTTATTGAACACAAAATGAGGACAAACAGCAAATGGAGCACGAACTAAACTATACAGGGAAACAGCTAAACTATAGCGCAGAAACCAGAACATGAAGCAGGGCGAGCAGAAGCAGACGATGGTTAACAGCAGGGTGAACACACGAGCGAGACACGGTGGTTACACAGACGGACCAGCAACTACAATGACGGAGGACACGACTTAAATACACACAGGGAAACACGGGAATTACACACAGGTGGTGGACACAGCTGGGAATAATCCGTAAGACGAGACAGAGGTAAAACTGAACACTCACATAAGACGCAGACCTTCACAATAAAACATCACACGCAGGCTCGACATAGAGAGACAGACAGGAAATGACATATGAAACTAAGCCCACATCTTAAACCCAGACAAACAGAAACATGGAACTCTCATAATAGACATCATATTCATCACCATAACACGACAAGAGAACAAGAACACAATCCCTGATGCAAACTTAAATCAAAACACAATAAACTCAAAATACTGGGTCCAACGGACCCAGAACCGTGACAGTCTATTCATTTTGAATGGAATCATGATTTCCATACCGTCATCATAACACCATATTTTGCTCAGAAGAGCTGCCTAAACAAACCCAGCGACAGTATGCAGTATATGCCCCCAAAAAACAAGATGCTGAAATGATGTTCAGATTTATGATTTGTTTACACCAGAGCTGTTCACAGCTTATGACAAAGAGAAATAAGACTAAATAAATACAAAAAAGGAGTCTTAATGACATAAAAACAGCAGTTTATATTGTTGTCATTGTTTCGTTTTGTTTTTTAAATAAAATTCGAAAACATGTCCCCAATAAATTGGTACACAGTCTGAGGCTTGTCCTACCATTCAGTCATTACCTTCACACAGTCACAACAATTTGCTCAAGCACTACAGGACCCAGTTAAACCAATTAGTTTAAAACAAGTGCACTGTTGGATTAAGGGAGTTAACCGTGTCCGTGAATTGGTCCGTCCAATGTGCCCTCCTTTATATGCTTGTAATTGAATTTCGCACAGAATTAAAGGCAGATTAAGCTGATGCATTTTAAATCACCCCATTCATTTCCAAACCTTGTTCATGCACCCCTCCCCGCAGAAATGCCCGAACACCCCGTTTCTCTCTATTTTTACGCGAGTGGGCATTCGGGTTGCAGCTCAGAGCTCGTTGCTCGCTGCAATCTGCTGTGTTGGTGTTTGACCCTGCAGTGGCTTTGAATGGAGACAGAAGGGAGACCAGCGTCATTCTGACGAGTGGTCCGTGCGGAGCGCATTTAGAATCGCGTTTGCAGTGTGCTCAAACAACCTGCGGTCACTGCAGACGCACAAGCAACAGCTGCAGTTCATCGGGCACACAAAACACCTGGAAGCATGTCTGGCATCACTGGGAACGTGGACTGCGAGGAGTGCTTATCTTCTGGACATCTACCCAACAGCACGGAGTTACATGTGCATCCCACCTTGGATGACGACGAGGAACTTCTGAGATACATTTGGAGAGAGTATTTACACCCCAAGCAGTATGAATGGGTTCTCATTGTGGCTTACATTATTGTATTCTTCGTTTCACTCATTGGGAACTCGCTTGGTGAGTCGTACCTTTAAATGCATTCATTTCTCTCTCTCTCCATTCATCTTAACAACTTGCAAAAATCATAAAGCAAAAGCACACTTCCAGCAACTTTTCCCACCTCTCCATAATATCAGCGCAAATATTACTTGAAGTATGAGAAAAATCCAAATCAAGAGCGATCAATAACTAGAAGCGCATTCCCCCCCTCTGTGATGTTCACTAATCGCAGTCGCGCCTCTGCTGATGTGGAAGCATCAATGAGGAGGAGAAACCGTCAATCAGTCCAGGAAAGCGAGGTTAATTTTGGAAAATCGGTAACCTTTTGATTTCTTTGAAGATACATCGAGTAAAAATAAATTATTTCACACCGTGCATTTGCGTAACTTGCAAGTTTTGCAGACCTATTGTCTGCGAAATTCCATTATTGGACTGCTTTGTTGCTGGTGTATTTTCTCAATGGTTTAGCAGCAGGGGCAGTTTTACTATTTAGCAAAGAGAAGTCAGACTGACCTGTAGCTCTGTTTTTTTTAATTGTGAAATTTCTTATCGGGCTGCTACCACACATTTGAGAACCTCCTTCTTTGTGTCAGTGTGGGAGTCTTAGTTATGCTCTACTGAAGCTCGATTGTCACAGTCACTAAAATAACCTGCTCTTTTTCCGCTTGCACTTTGATCTATTTCAACTTTGAAAGCTGTCTTTGTGCAGGCTTGTGTTCTATGCCTCATCTCAGGGTTCCCACTAGCTATTTTTAGACTTTTTTTTGGTAACAAGGAAAAGGGCCCCCGCATAGATGCAGCTGCGCACTGCAGAATTGCACTCCAGCTTGAAAGGCTGAAGGTGTGCACATTACCTGTCATTTTAGGCAGCATTTATCAATCTAACAATTTGTATGGTATTTCAGTGAGGAAGACAGCATTCACCCTCTTGCCATCTTCATTATCCTTAATGCAACACCCACTCCCCAGACAGTGGATGACATTTTGAAATGGGCCACTGGAAATGCTGTCCAAGAGAATTTTGTAGATGCTTTCAGAAAACAGCTTTCCACCCTTGTGCAGAGTCTACTTCCCCTTTTATGCTTTTATTCTCACAATGGAGTGAACAGACACTTTGAAAATGATACATGAGTGGATAAGTTACGATTCCAGAAATCAGACAGGCCAGCTATTCACAGTCTAATGTTCAACAGTTTCATATTAAACATGTTAAGTGAAATAAGCAGGGTTATCATTTGCTTTTTAAAGCTCAGATTACAAAAATATGTGCTTTATAGTACTGGTTTACTAACAATACCTGGTTGCTGATGTAATCAATGTTTTAGTAAATACTTCAAGAGCAGGAAGTCATTTAGGAAACAAATTAGTCATTTTGTTTATGAGCAAAATTTGCATTTCTTTGCCGAACAGAGCAATTAAGGACATTGGAGGGGTCCGTGTGTGTTTAATCAGTATGGCCATGAGTTTCAAAGCCAGAGATGACAGGTTCTCATTATAACTGTCAGTGTTAGATGAGGAAGCACAGCGCAAATCTTTGAAATCATCGCAGCTTCTCTTTCTTTGTTTCCTGCACTGTGTGCTGTTTTCTCTTGCTGCAGTTTTACCTGCTATGAACAGCAGGAAGTGACAACAAAGGTGTCACCCCTGCCTGGAGAATCTCTTCCATAGACAGAAGTAAAGAGAAAAAAAAAAATCATAAAATCAGCATTTACTGTTGCATTTTTTATTCCTATAAGGGAAAAGGAATCCAGTGGAATTTTTGTTAGAGCTGAAAGTATTTGTTCTCATAGTAAATGGCCTTGCTGCTGTAATGGATTCAGGCACACATTGTACAGTAGGTACTCAATTTAAAACTTTAGTCTTCCTTTTCGTAGAGGGTCTTTCAGTGTAATCCTCTTTAGCATTTCTTTCCTGCTGCTGTAAGTACAAATTTTGATTCATCAAATTGCTGCCTGTATTAACTTCACTGTTCACTGACGATGTTAGCGACCACCTGGCGAGCATAACATTAAGCAACTAAAGCACCAGATATTTCCCTCAGAGAGTTGGCAGAGACTGAACTTGGAGTAAAAAGTAAAGAGAAACCACTAATAAATCTGCTCTGTATGTGATGGATGTGTAACTACAAGAAGCTTTTTGCTAAAATGTTTGCAACATTATTATGCTTTTAAACCTTGGACACAGTGTGTACACTTTGTGTTCAAGGCTCTCCCCTTCCCATGCCAACATTTTACCCCATAGGCACTGAAACATTAGCTAAAATTCCAACTAATAATGGGCGGGCAATTGTCATTAGATCATCAGAAACATTAGGGCATAGGTGTCAAACTCTGGCCCACGGGCCAAATTTGGCCTGCAGCCTAATTACATTTGGCCCGTGAAGCCATACCAAATTATTATTAGAGTTGGCCTACTGGTATTATCCAGCTAATTTTAGTATTAAGCTTTGCTTGTTCCATATTCAGTTTTTCAGCGAAACATGTTTGAGTCCATAAGAAAAGATTCATTCTCATATCTGGAGGAATAAATATATTTCAATAAATATTAACGTTAGCCCGCAACTTTGTTCCAGTTTTGAATTTTGGCCCACTGTGTATTTGAATTTGACACCCCTGCATTAGGGCTACTTACCCTGCTCAACTTCTTGTTAACACAACAATACAATGAGGCAGACATATGGCAGCAACTCAGTGCGCTCCTCCTCATGTTGACACGGTCAAGACGACCTACTGAAGTTCAAACTGAGCATCAGAATGGGGAAGAAGGGTAATTTAAGTGGCTTTGAATGTGACACATGGTTGTTTTTGCCAGAAGGACTGGTTTGAATATTTCAGAAACTGCTGATCTACTGGGCAGAAAACCATCCCTCTGGTTGCGTTATTCATTCAGAGGTCAGAGGAAAATGACCAAACTGCCTTGAGATGATAGAAAGGTAACATAAACTCGAATAACCATTCTTTAGAACTAAGGTATACCAAACTGGATCACTAAACACATAAGATCTCAAACCTTGAATTCTGGTGCTGGGCTACAGCAGCCAAATTCCACACTGGACGCCACTCCTGTCAACAAAGAATGGGAAACTGAGGCTGTGATTCACACAGGCTCATCTAGATTAGACAATAGAAGACTGGAAAAATGTGGCCTGCTCTGATGAGTCATAATTTCTGCTGCAACATTCGTATGGTGAGAATTTAGCATGAGCAACATGAAACAACATGATCCTGTCTTGAATCACTGGATCAGGCTACTGGTGTTGTACTTGTGTGAGGGATATTATCGTGACTCGCTTTGGTCCCCTTATGAGTGTAGTTTAAACACCACAGCCTTCTTGAGCATTGTTATGACCTCAGTATACCCATCTTTTAATGGCTGCTTCCAGCAGGATAAAGTACATTGCCACAAAGCTCAAATCCCACTCAAACTGGTTTCTTAAACATGACAGTGAGCTCACTGTACTCAAATGGCCTCCACAGTCACCCGAGCTCAATCCAACAGAGCACCTTAGGGCAGTGTTTCACTGAAATATGGTTTTCTAATGTGAAAACCATATTTCACATTAGAAAAATCACACGGCACACAAAACAAAAATATCACAAAAAGCATATTGATCATTTTTACCTGCACATCAGGTATAGCAGAATTGGCTCAGTTTGTCCACAGTACACGTTTTTTCTTCTTCTGACCACTACTCACGCTAGGGTCTTAATATGGGTCGGAATTTCTCCAGGAACCAGGTCAGATTGACTAATTTTCTTTTCAAATATTTTTCTATTGCTTTTACACGATGTTCTTTCTTCTTTGCCTTCTTCTGTTTTACTGGCAGTTGGCAACCCATTTAATTAGAGCAGGCAGTTGTACTGCCCTCTAGTGGAAGAGAATGTAATTGTTCTGCATGTTACTCACGCTAATTGACCCTGTGCACGAGAAAATGCTAGCTTCCTGGTTTGAGACCGGATGTGGGGTTGTACATTTCCGGTAGCTTTACTTTGCGGTCAATCGCTACTGCGAAAATATACTCCAAAATCATGTCCAAAACTCGAAAACGGAAAGATCGCGTTAAGTTACAAAGAGCAGAAGGTGGGAACACTCACCACTGTTGTGTCATAAAAAATCTAATGATCAATTTTGACGTTTAAAGAGTTTAGATCGATCAGTTGTTTACATCACTCAACACAAGCAACACAGAACTGCATCACTGCAGCAGAAGACACATCGTCCACATTCAAAAGCACATCTCTGTATACTGACTGGTCTTATGATTTAAACAGGCAAATGTTCAGCATTCAAACTACAGGTGAAGAATAGTCAAACCAGATGTTTCCTCCGTTATGTCGATATCAGCTAGTCAAGTACACACCCACACAGCATGTTAACAAACCGTGAAAAAAGCCACACAAAAAATGAATGATTGTTGGTAAGGGTTTCTATGCATTAGTATTTACGAAAGGTATGTTGTGACTTACCTTCAAAATTACAGCGGTCCCTCGCTAATAACGCGGTTCACCTTTCAACTTGCTGTTTCACAGATTTTTTTAGTGCAAGTTTGGACGTTTTTTTTACGTCACATTGTGTCCTGCGTCCTGATCGCTGCAGACGATCTCCTCCGTGACGTCTCTCATGTACAGTACAGAATCGCTGCATCGATCGCTAGCAGTGTGACTCTGAAGTGCAGTACTGTATGTCCACGATGTCCACGAAACGTTTTGCACCGTCAAAAAATTTAATTGGCTACTTGATTTCACCTATCGCTGGTTATTTTTAGAACATAACACCCGCGATAAACGAGGGACAGCTGAGAAATATAATATTTGAATCCCTTTTCTCTTTTGCTCTGAGGCGCGGGGGAAAAAATATCGACAAGTTGATGAACATCATTTACAGATATATTGGGTAAATGCCCAAGACATCTATAGAAATGTAAATTGCCGCTTGATTCATTCATTTGCTTAACTTGTTTTGGACCATAAACAGGGCGTGAATAGGACACTGAAAACAAAGTTCCCCACAGGAGTTTC